CTGAAGTCCCGAGGCTAGCGATGCCTCTGTATAACTCAATTAAAATTTGATAATTATGATAAACAAAATAATTTTAAAACTATATTAAATATATAGATTTTGCAGATAAGAGGAATATTGCTTTTAAAAAAATTGGCACAAAAGTGTAAATTTGAATCAGACCAGGATGAGAGATAAAGAAATCAAATGGTGGCAGGAATAATAATGGTGGCAGGAATAATAATGGCAGCTTTAAAAAAGATAATCGCACCAGATTTCTAGATGAAATAAATGACTTGGTAAAAAGGACTAGCTTTTAACAAGTTTTAAATATGGCTTTGGCAATGGAAAGAGCTGAGAATGAAGTTTCAAATATGATGATAAAAGTTAATAAACCTAGGCAGAAATTAGAGAATAATTAAGGAAATCCTTTTAATAAATGACCCACATAATATTAAAGAAAAATTATAATTATTACAATAATAATAATAACATTTTAAGTACAGAGATATTAGTAAATTGAACAATAATGATTGATAGTGTTTTTAAACGACTTGAAGGAGCCGAATTTTAAAAACGCTAACTAATTGTTTTATTTAGAAAAATACTATGCAAACCTAAAGATTTTACTTATAATTGACACAAAGGTTTGAACATCTATTAGGTAAATCTCGAGGCTTATACAATATTTTTCTGGCTAATATATTGAACTAGCCGTTTTTAAAAATCGGCTCAAATCGAACCGTTTAACAACACTATTGATATGTTTAAGAACAATGACTGTTCATAATGTGGTAACTCACACCTCATTCCAATATTTTGCATCAAGGGTACCATGTTACAATTGCCAAAAGGTAGAGCATTATGCAAAATACTATAAGAGACATAAACTACACGCTATGCATTAAGATGATAATGAATCATCAGATCAAGTTAGTCTAAAGTAAAAAATGTAAAAAATAGAGCAAATATCTTAATTAATAATAATTAATTTTTGTCCTATAGTCGACTCAAGTATATAATTTGTATTCACGACTCAAGTTGGAAGTCTAAAGTAAAAAATTGTAAAAAACAGAACAAATATCTTAATTAAGAATAATTAATTTGAAATATTCGTCCTCTAGTTGACTCAAGTTCATCGAATTATTTGTCCTCTAGTCGACTTAAACATATAATTCGTATTCACGACTCAAGTTGGAAGTCTAAAGTAAAAAAATGTAAAAAACAGATCAAATATTTTAATCAATAATAACCAGGGTTGGCATGTCGGTCAATTGACCGGAGGAGTATTTGACCGGTCAAATACGGTCAAATACTCTAAAATATTAATGGCGAATAAATATTTTGATATAATTAACTAGTATGCATTAAAAGCATGTTTATCAATCTTATTAGGTTACAATTATTTAAAAAATTATTTGTATCATGAATTGTTAAAAACAAAAGAATTTTTTTATTGTTAAAATATAAATATGTAATTTTTCTAAATATAGTAATATTTTTAGTTATTTTTTTGCCTAATCATTACCGTTTCTCGCCTTCTTTATTTTTTTCAATTCATTTTTCTTAAAAAAAATAAAAATACCCGATTTATTATAATCATAATATAATTTTTTCATTCTTATTTTTTAATAAATTTAAATTTTATTTAATATTTAGCCGAGTATAAATTATATTAACTCTCATTTGTTTTACTTACACTTGCTATATTTGGTTTTTAAAATTAATTTTCATTTTAATTGTTCTGGTCAGATTTACGGAATATTATTCAATTCTGGTAAAAAGTTATATATATTATATTATATTTATAATATTAAGAAATTATTGGAATAATTGGTCGATAATTATAAAATAGTTAAGATTGATTAACTTTACAATAATCAAAATCATTTTTTGTTAAATTTTAATATATTAGGGATTATGGTCAAACCAAAGCATCATGTTTGGAAACATTTTCAAGAAGTACGCGATGGTAAATCAGTTAAAGCGGTGTGCAAGTTTTGCAAGATGTCCTATATCACCCACGTTGATAGAATGGTCAAACATTTATTAAGCAGCTGTACTATGTGCCCTGTTATAATTAAGGAAAAATTTTATTCAAATTCCAAAATATCAACCTCTACAAAAAATATCACAAATGTAATTTGTAATACTTCTAAGAACTCTAATGAAGAATTGGGTGAAATTAGTGAGAATGATTATCAATTATCAAATGAACAATATTTTGTCTTGTGACTCAGGAGAATTTGATTCCATTATTTCTAATCAATCTACAAGGAAGGCGATTAAATATAAATCTCAATCTTGTATAACCGGTTTCATAGATAGAATTAATCCCAAAGAAAAAAATGAGCTGGATCAATTGTTTGCAAAGGCTGTATATGCGAGAAATTTACCTTTCCACATCACTGAAAATCCCTACATCTAAGAATTTTTTAAAAAAATACGTCCTATTTACACATTACCCAGGAGAAGGCAGCTGGCTGGATATCTTCTAGACAAAGCATCAGGTGATATGGAGGTGAGAATTGCAGATATAATAGATAAAGCTCCTTACTTATCAATTGTATCAGATGGCTGGAGCAACCATTAGAAACGAGAGTATTATTAATTTTATGGTGATGACGCCTGTTCCAGTGTTCTACAAATTTCTAAATACTGAGGAAAATCGCCATACGGCAGATTATATTGCCCAGGAATTTAAAAATGTAATTCATGAATTGAATCCGGTAAAAGTATATTCTTTAGTTACTGATAATGCCGCTAACATGAAAGCAGCCTGGAGAATTCTAAAATCTGAATCTATTTATAATCATATGCAATGTTATGGTTGTGCAGCGCATACATTGCAGTTATTCTTTCACGATTTTGAACGATTGAACGCCTTCAGTGACCATATTTCAATAATTAAAAAAATTGTTAAATTTTTCAAGAATAAACACATACCAGCTGCAGTATTTTCCCGTAATAAGAATCTTCATGGCATACCATCTACATTAAGTACAATTAGCCAAACAAGATGGGCATCGTCAATAAAATGTATGGAGCAAATTCAAATATGCAAGAAAGCTCTAAAAGCATCAGTTGTTGAAGAAGCTGTTTGTGATATTTGTCCCATAGAAATTACCAATAATATATTAAACGAAGAATTTTGGACGAAAAATTTAAAATTTTTAGCTATAACCTCATTGTTGAAAGTGCAAGGGGATAAATGTACTTTGGCCCAAGTAAAAAACGAGATGCTTAATTTGGAAAAACACATAATACAATCATGCCATGATTCTATATTTTCTCCATCTCAAGAAAAAAAAATTAAGGTTATGTATGAAAAGAGAAAAACTGATCTAAATACATGTGCTCACAATGCTGCTTATTTATTGGACCCCCAATATCAAGGGGAGCATCTTACTAATACTGAATTTGATGAAGCATGTAATATAATACAAGAATTGGGTATTTTACAAGGTGGTGATAATCAAAATATTTTGAGTAATATAGTAAATTTCCGAAGCAAAAGCGGTATATTTAATAGCCATAATATGTGGAAAGTTGTAACTTCCATAAGAAACAATCAAATTTCGGCCTCAAGTTGGTGGAATGCATTTTGCCCACCTTGCCCATTAAGAGAAGTGGCTAATATTTTACTAACATTTCCTAGTTTGACTTCTTCTTCTGAAAGAAATTGGTCGGTTTAGGGCTATATTCACACGAAAAACAGAAATAGATTAAAGGCTTCTACAGCAGGAAAATTAGTAAGAGTGTATCATAATTTAAGGTTGATTAAAAATATTAAAGAAAATAATGATATTGAATATGAATCGGAACAAGACTCTGCCACGGAGGGTGAAACATTGACTATAGAATGAATTAAAAAATATTATGATATTTATTATTATACATAGATTTATTATAATATTATATAAATGCAAAATAAAGTTAATATTGGTGTAAAAAACATTTATTTGAATTTGACCATATTTGACCGGTTAAATATCGGTCAATTGACCGAATTGTATTTGACCGGTCAAATGCACAACCCTGATAATAACTAATTTGAAATATTCGTCCTCTAGATGACTCAAGTATATAAACCTAATTTCACCACTCGAGTCGACTTGAGTTGTGAACTTAAGCCTATATATTGGCTCAGTTTTTGATTAAGTCGACTTTACTTAGTGGATTAACAACACAATAAACAGTACTATATATTTCCATTTTGAAGATTGGTTTAAATGCAGAGTATGTAAAAGTTGGGTGCATAGGACCTATGCCAAAAAAAGATTTCTATTATATTTTTTATAATTGTAAATAATAATATATAAATAAAGCATATATGAAAATCGGAACAAAATTTTTATGCGTCTCAGGAATCCTAATAAACCATTTGATTCGACTAGCCCCATCAATGATCTTCCAACTAACAAAGGGTTTGGGGTTACTTTTATTAGAGAAAAAATTATTAAATATTTATAAATATAACAGTGTATTTATAGCTAAGTGTTTAAGTTATCGATTGGTATTTTGCAAGATCTTATGCGATCATTATTTTCGGAGCTATGATGATTTGACAAAAATTGTACCGACTAGCCCTGGTTTTCCCTATATTATATTATTGTTTACACTCTGATATCTCATGATTTTGTGATCCATAGCGATTTGTTACTCACCAGTATTTGTGATTCATGGTCATTTCTGATTCCGCACCATTTGTAATTCCCAGTATCCCCCCCTCCGGCCGAAATCGGGGCTAGGGCCATAGTGATTGTACAAAAATATAAACATCAGAATGTTTATACTGAATAATTGATATAAATTTTATGTTAATAAAATATCCCACAAAAGATAATTTTAATGTTCAGAATTAAAAATACTATAATTTTAAAGTATTTATTTGAACATAAAATAATTTTTGACACTATTTTAGGTACCATTTACACTTTTTGGTCTGGGAGGTGGGGAGAGGGTATTCAAACCCTACCTCCTCATCTACTTGTGGCTACGCCATTTGTTTATAATACACATTTTTTCTAGTAATTTTTAAATAATAGTAGGTTTAAATAAGCTATGGGCAATATATATTTTCTATCGACCTATTTAATAAAATTTTGTACAAATGTTAATGTATCTCGTAATAAATTTTTTTTATATACCAATATTAGCTTTGGCATGTAAATTAGAATACTATAACCAGAATTATTTTTCAAAATTATATAATAACTTTTTATTCCATCTTAAAATTAAGTGTATGACTAGGTTTACAAATACCATCGCCTTCCCACCACCCACTGAAATCTTTGTAAGTCCTTGTTTTTTCGTTACTATATGTTGAATTAGACGAGAAACCAAAATTTAGGTGGGAATAATTTATCATAGCGCAGATTCGGCACCAAAACTTAGTATCCACAAATTTCCCCCCTTCATTTTTCCAAGCGAGGTACGAATTGTAAAGTTGATCGTCCGAGTCTAATATGTACAAGTAAAGAGCAAGATGAGCAGGACTAGGAAAATCGTCTACGTGAATGAAAGATTGACTAGGAGCTATCCTTATATATTCGGATTTAGATGGGCCCATTACTATAGGAATTATGGAATTCCTAGAGGAGTAAAAATTTGTTTCATATGATAGTTTTTTTTTAGGTCATGGATATAAAGGGCTAATATTACATTTACATAGTATAGTCAGTCGTTATCATTTAACATGCGCACAAATTGAGCATTCGCGTTTTGTCATACTTTTTTAATAAAACAAACACGAAATGCATACCTTATTTAAATTAAGGTTGCCTTTTTATTATTATCGTAGATTCAAAATTATAACCAAATCAAAAAAAAAATGTTTGTTCTTGAAAATAATATTATCGACTGTCTTTTTCCATTTTAAAAGATGAGTAAGCTATATTTAAATATTTTATATAATATAACAAAAAGCTAAATTAAAAAGTATTGAAAAAAGGCAAATCTGTTTGCGTTTTTCGTGATGGTTGTTAACGCCAATCGATAATTTTATCAATTTGCAAGATTCCATTTGAAAGACCTTATTTGCGTTTTGGAAACGCTAAATTTGTGCACATTATAATAAAGTTTCTGTTTTTTTTAAAAAAAAACATTAAAGCGATTAAATAAATCAAATAAATGTTATACGAGGATGTCTTAAATGAAGACTTATTACTAAAAAATTAAGTTTATACACATTACTTTAATCCGTTTTCGAAAAATTTCTCCGTTACGTAGCCTTTGCACCGTGAGTTTTCGAAAGAGAGATAAAACTTGTAATCCTTATCAAGCATTTCAAAGCATTTGGTACCTTCATCTCTCGCACAACTCAGCGGGGAATCCCCACAATTTCCATATATATCCACGGGCATATATTTATTCAGTGTATTGGCGTAATCTAGTCTCAATTGGCTTCCACAATTGGAAACAAACCAAGCGATCATTTTGGTCTTTCCGGATGCATAATTTTTGGTACTCGTTTTGATCGCAACTTAGTTTTTCAAGTATAAGATCAATGAGGGAGGTAAGGAATATTTTGGCGGGAATGATAATGACCGGAGGTTAAATAGAAGAGAGTTCAAATTGTCGTAAAGGTGAGAAAGATTTAACGACGAAATTTTGGGAGTCTTTGGGTGGTAAGAATGGATTAATAAACGATTAACTATTTCATCGTCTAAGAGAGTATCGTGGGATTTAAGGTGAGACTTTAAAGCAATGGTCAGTTTTAAATATTTTTCAACTGTCTTATTTAATGTGAGAGACACATTAACACGTTTAGCATTTATTTTTGACTCTTTGGATTCTCTTGATCGAGAATACTGGCTTGTTATATATTTAGCATAAGGTGTGACTATATCCGAATCATGTCTATAAGTAGCAGTCCAATTGAACATGGAGTAGAGCCTACCCCCAGTGTGCATATTCATAGGGCTTTCCAAGGAGTGAAATATCCAGATCTGAGCAGGATTTCTTTCTATGTTTCTTTCCGATTTTGTGGGGAAAGCGTTTCTATATAAGACCGCATGGGCTTTCTGACGTGGTATACCAGCAGGATCCGCGGAATCGGTTAGGTAACAATTGGTGAAAGCGCATTTAGACTTATGCAGACCCCTACAGCCATAAGGAATGTCATTCCAGGATGGATGTAAATGAGTAGCCACGTATATAACTTTAGTAGACAATTTCTTGTGTGTACTAGCATTATAAGTGGAATTGTTTAGTGTATAGTGGAAGAAATCGGGAAAAATATTATCAGGATGGCAAGATCGTTTGGAAGATGATTTAAAGTTTAACATTTTGGGGGCCAGAGATAATTGTTCCATGATTCTGTCAGTGGTATTAGAATCTTCTGGCCACAATGGGAGCAACAGTTTAGCCGTGTTTTTATGTTTAATACGATTTTTAATTGTTGTGGCTTTGTCTAATTTGTTTGATATTGATAATATATGCAAAGCATTCTCTTCCGAGGAATATTTTAAAGTTTCTAACAATCTTGAAAATTTTGATAATACGGAAAAGCGTTGTATCAAATTTTCTAAACTTTTACGCTGATCAATTATAGCCTCTAGATAAGTCGTAGATGACATATATTCTATAGATGAAGTAATAATTCGAGTTTTAGAAGCTTGGGAAGATATAGGGTGTTTGCTGGGTTTGAATGAATTTTTATTCAGTCTTAATCTGGAATTAAATGAAGATTTTTGGTTATCATCTTCATGTGCAATAAACTGTTTTTCATTCACAGGTAGATCATCTAATTCATTAACTTCAATATTATCACGACGCGGAAGAGAATCATACTCAGAATCCTGGTTTATGTATGATCTCTCAAGATTTGGAGAATTATTCCTATGTATAAGAGTATTTAAGAGTTCGATGTAGTTGTTCATATCGGAATGTTCGGTGTTCGATATTCGTTTCATTTCTAGCTTTGCCAATGACAATTCATATGAAGGAGAGATATTCGGTTTCTTAACAAAATTATTCGGTTTTTGAGGCCAAGGTAGCTTGGAGAAAGATAAGGGATAGTAGTAGGAAATCTTTTGTGCTATCGCCATGAAACCATTGCCAGTAAATTTTTCCTCTTGATTAAGATTCGAAAAACTGGATTCAGGATGTTTATTTTCTAATACGCATATAATAATTACGCTAGTCATGTAAAATATTATTATAGCGGTTAAAGAGCACCAGTACACGAATAATCTGGAGTCGTAGACGTTCCTTAGCATTAATATATAAACTTATTTTTATTACACTGCCCCTTTGCCGATTTAATTGATTGGGTTATATGGAAAGAAGATTGTCCAGTTAAAAAAAAAGGTAATGGGTTAATTAATCGCTTTTTTAATACCTATTTTTTGGGGTGGGGGGGGGATTTTAGGATATGTGCGTCTTGCTATAAATATTTAAATAATATATATTTAGATAAATTTTATAGTTTAAAATTTTTAAGAAAATTTAATTTTTTTGTGATAAATTCAATTATGTAACTTGTGCAAGGAACATTTAAAGTTTAAGGCCAGGAATTCCTAGAAAAATGTACATCAAAATATTAATTACTTATGTATTTTAAATAGTGAGATCTCGCATAAGAGAGATTACGAAGGTAGTCATGTTGATATCATCTTTTTCAATAGGTTTAATTTTTTTTTCAAGGCTTGGAATTCAAGAGTCAAGACCATTGAAGATATTATCAATGGCAATTTGATGGATCATAACGAATGAAAATTCATAATTTTAATTAATTACAAATGTAAAATATCATTTATTTGTCAATAATCAAAATAAATTTTTCTGTCTATTTAACCCTACATAACACAGGTGATAAAAAACATGAGAATATAGGTGTATTTACCTGGTACCTAAATTTAGATTTGCTATATCTTAGAATTAAATTTACTTGTAACTTCCATATTAGTGACTTTAAGTGTTAATTAAGGATTTATTTATTCTGAAATTTATGACAACTTTTACCAAGAGAGTCATAATAGTGACAAATTATTTTAAAATGTCCCAATATGATATTTTAAGAAAAGTATAAATAGAACTGACGACGTGAAAATGTATATTTCTAAGGTTATATTAATATAATATAATTTTTAATTAATAAGGATAATGCATATAAAAAAGCGTTCATTTATACTTAATACATTAATACTAAAACAGATGAAAAAGTTACACCCAGGAATTTTAAATGAAATTTTAAATTAAATTGCCCAGAATATGTTCTAAATTCTGTATATCCCATCCCCTTAAATTAATAATTTTAGCAACACTCTCTAAAATTAATGTCAGGGATTCTAGCAAGTCTTCTATCTATAATAGATTGAATCAAAATTTATGTTAAACTACTTTAGATTTAAAAGTAGTAAGAATACGGTCTACATATGAAAATTTCGATATAATGCTGTTGTCGATTTGAGCCGATTTTTAAAAACGGCTAACTCAATATCCCAAAATCTTTAAACTTGCGTAAAATTTTTCTGTATAAAATATTGAGTTAACCATTTTTTTAAAAATTGGCTCATAAAAACTTTAGCATTTTCCAAAAAAATAGAAATTTGTTACAACTATGAAATAAATCTGGGCAAAGATACGTCAACAACTCCATCTAAAAATTCGTAGATCGAAACCGTATATTCAAAAATATTACGCTAATAACACTAGTTTAAATTTAGACCTCATCAAATAAATTTTAAGAGGGTTGATGCAATAGATTCTATTATATAGTAATTTACCATCCACCGCATATAAGGCTATTTATAAAATTCCGCCAAACTTTGGATATTCATGAACAAAAAATAGAATGGTGAATAGTCATCATCATTTCCAAAGAAAAAGAACGAGGTATACGTTAGTTAGCAAATTTCATCAAATACATTGTGGATGAATATAGCAAACAACTTAAGAAAATTAATTTGAAATAATATCAATTAATTTAAAAAACAGATATTTATTTTTTAAAAAAGTAAATATTTTATTTAAACTATCATTTCTATAAAATACATAAAATATATTTTAAAAAAAACAATATTTTAAAAAGAAATAAATAATATATGTGATTTCCATCTTAAATCAACAAAATAACCCGATTTTAAACCCGACCTTCTCAGAATTTTTAAAAATTTTGTGTATTAAAAATATACTATAACTAAGAAAAAAAATAAAATTTTACATCCATGGATATTTAAAGAGAGGGAAAACGGTACATTTTTGACAAAATGCACTTCATTAATTTTCAAATATCTCGAGAATAAATTAAGTTAGAGCAATAATTAAAATTTTAATTTCTTAAGAATATACCTTTAATATGACATAGAAATAAATGTGATAGAAACCCGATTAATACCAAAAACCGGGAATGGTCATCTAAAAAAAATTATTTAATTTTCAAACTTTTCTTTCGGTAGACTGCTTTATATTTGTGTAAAAATACTAGACTGAGTTTAATGTGGGTCTAGGAGTTATGACCCTTTGTTTGGCTAAAAATGACTGTATGGCGATCCGATTAAAAAATAATGTCTAAATAAAAGATCCTTACTTTATTTTATTTTTTTTTAAGTATTTGAGAGGTGGGGTTGGGGTGGACAATGCTGTTATTTATTTAACACTTTGTTTAAAATCTTCTCTTCAAATTACGTGGCATTAAATAAAATGCCCATACGTTGTGCTTTAAGTAATCTATATTAACAAATTTACTGTTTAAAGCCGTCTTAACAGTAATAAATCATATTTGGTTGTCATTTGCAAAATAAACTTTACAAACGTTTAAATTATACATATTTACTATTGACCGTCGCGGAATGCAAATAAAAATATATTTCTTATATTATAAATATTGGAATTGATAATAAATATCCTTAGTAAATTTAACCATATATCTATTTGAAAATTTTAACACTCATAATTTTGCGTCTAAAAAAAAATAAAAAAATAATATAATTATTATCATTTAACTTGGTTAAACCAGATTAAAATATTCAGAAAATTATTAGATAAAAATCTACCGTTGTTAAGAGCGGATATACCATAAATTTATCGTAATTAACCAAAAAAATGTTTTCTTTTATTAATTGCTAAACTATTATCCAATTTTAATTGTAAAATCAGTTTAAACTAATGTTTAACAAAACCTATTATTATTTAAAATGCATACAACATATTCGTAATATTTATTCAAATAAATAAATAATTATATGGAATTAAATGGTATATATTAACTTACCAATATAACAGATGAGAAACAAGAACAATTGAAAGAAAATCAGAAGATTTTTATTTTTACCAATTCTGAATTAAAGAATTTAAATGATGTTCGAATTATTCTACCCAGTTTATAACATAAGGAATTATTTTTTATTTATATACATGTATTAATTCGTTTATTTTAACTATTTTTTTTAACTTTTTTTAAAGAAATTTTACTAATAAAATAATTTAAATTTTTTATATTTTTACGATTTTTATATACGTTAAAAAAAAGGGAGAAATTTTATTTTTTGGCAAAATTTTGTTTTTTTTGTTTGAACAAATATAAAATTTATGCATGAGTTTCAAATTTTCTCCAAATTATTTTTACGTTTCACCTCCCCACCCCCCCATCTATTTGAATTTTTGAAAATTCGTAAATTAACGAATCAAATGAGTGAATATTACAACCTTTAATGATGTATAATAATGTTGAAGGTGGCTATTTATTAATCTATAATCTAAAATTATTGTGAAAAATAATAAATGCTAATTAGAGGAAGCGCGCATTTTTTCGCAGGAACTAAACTCTACTAATGGTCAAATTTTTTTAACCAAAATTATAAAACTACTAAAAGGCATATGGAGGCTATATTTTTACTTATAGTGGACAATATCTACGCAAGTAACTTTTTGGAATTTTTATGATTTCTCAAAAATAAAAATTATTTTAAATTGCTTTTTACGACCCAAATAATATTTTATACCAAGTAAATACATCCCCCCTTTTATGTGGAATATTAATTTCACCTAAAATAGGTAAATTCAGAATATGTTGACTTTGGCTTTTATGTAGAACTATTATTTTCAAACCATGCTCTAATTCTTAAATTTGTATATTGAACAGAAATTATGATTTTTTTTAAAAATAAATTAATATTTTATAAATAATATAAAGTTTTTTTTTAGTCTAATATTGTCCATAATAATTTTTTTTTAAAATAAATTTGTGTCCTTTCGCAATCAAATCAAAGGTATATTAAAAGATGGCATTATATGACTAAAATAAGGGTATGATTTTATTTATAAATATAATCAATTTTGGTTTCCAACAACCCCAATGCGTAGATTCACACTTTCCCAGGATAAAAATTATCGGTTTCCATGTATAAAATTTGAATAAAAGCAGGTTAATTTAATTTAAAATTTAAGTCTAAGACTAATTAAATGAAATATTATATTTTTTTTGAGGGTTGCCTTCCTTTATTATAACTATTTGTTTTATAACAAACTACTTAAACAAATCTTATTCAATTACACCAATTCCCAGCATTAAGCAAGCTCAAATGACTACTAGAAATAGAATTAAATACTATAACCTGGTAAAAAAAATCGATGAAATAATTTTATTTTTATTAGAGTAAAAAGGTTTATTTATTATTATTATTATTATATTTTTTTTTTCTCTTTAGCTTTCACCTTTTCTGGTGGTAAGCTCCTTCAACATCTCTCTCCACTTTATGTTATTCATACAATCTCTTTTATCTATTTTATACTTCTTTATATTGGCTCTAACTTTATGGCCCCATTGAAGTTTTGGCCTTCCTCTTTTACGTTTGCCCATCACTTCCAAACTTTCAACTTTATTTCCTATGTAGTTCATAGGCCTTCTCATTGTGTGCCCATACCACCTAAGTCTGTTTACCATTAACATAGTCTTAATGGGCACTACCTTTAAACTATTTAGTATTCTTGTACTGCGCACCTTATCCTTTCTTGTTACCCCAGCAATCATCTTCAGCATTCTCATCTCCATAGTTTGTAGACTTCTCTCGTCTGATTCTTTGGTTGGCCATGTTTCCGAACTATATAGAATAGTTGGTTGTACTATGGAACTGTAGATTTTTCCCTTTAATTTGTGTGGGATTCTTTTGTCAAATAGCATTCCAGATAAAGATCTCCACTTTAACCACCCTTGATTAATCTTATTCTTTATCTCTTTTTCTATTGTGCCGTTTGTTTGTATAGTGGAGCCCAAATATTTGCAGCTTTTAATTGCGGATATCTGCCAATCATTTATATCAATACTCTCCGTTTCATCTCCTCCTATCACCATATACTCCGTATTTTCTCTATTTACTTTTAATCCGTGCGTTTCTAGGATATTTATCCAATTCACTAACCTTTCTTTCATTTCATCCTTGGATTCGGCAAGTATCACAATATCTGCAAATATCATATTCCACGGGACTGTTTGAGGTATAGACTGTGCTAATACATCTATTACTGTAATGAAGAGAAGTGGGCTGAGAGCCGACCCTTGATGAACTCCTTCGGCTATTGTGAAGCCTGCTGAAATACCTGTTGTGCTACGGACCATTGTTGTATGTCCCATATATATATCCTGTATTATTCTTATATATTTTTCGGGAACTTTTTTATGGCGTAGCGCCCACCAGATAAGTTTTCTTGTGATTCTATCGAAGGCCTTTTCTAGATCGAGAAAGACCATGTGTAGCTTTTTGTTCTTTTCTCTGTATTTTTCACTCATTTGCCTAATTGCATGGATAGCATCGGTTGTTGATCTTCCAGGCATAAAGCCAAACTGTGTCTCTCTTATTTCGATTATATCTCTTAATCTTTTTTCTATTATTTTTTCGTATAGTTTTAGACAGTGTGACATTAGTTTTATGCCCCTTTTTGACAATTGTGTGGATCCCCTTTATTTTTGAAGATAGGAACTACATAGCTCTGCCTCCATTTTTGGGGAACCTCTTCATTTTCAAGTATTTTATTGTACAGATTTGTGAGGAGATGTATTCCATCATCTCCTAGTGCCTTAAGGCTTTCTATTGGAATATCGTCTGAACCCCTAGCTTTGTTGTTTTTCATATGCTTGAGGCATGTGATTATTTCTTGTTCCGTTATAGGTTGTACAAGGTTTTGACAAGGGGAGTGTTCATCGAGATGCAATATGTGGGAATTAAAGTTGAGAAGCTCCTGAAAATATTCTTTCCATCTATTCATTATTTCTTTTTCCTTTATTATCAATTTCCCATCTTTATTTTTGATTACTTTCGGAGCTCCGTTTATATCCCTAGAGTTCTTTTCTCGCTGTTTGGCTAATCTGTATATTTTATTTTGCCCTTCTTTGGTATGTAGATCTTCGTACATGTCATCGTATGCCATAGATTTGGCCCTAGCCACCGCCTTTGTAGCTAATCTCTTGGATTTTTTGTATCTTGACTTGTCATCTGCATTTTTGGATTTGTACCATATTTTATAAAGGGCTTTTTTCTCCTGTATAGTGGTTTGTACCTCTTGATTCCACCACCATAGTTCTTTGTGTGATTTGTTGCCTCTTCTTGTCAAGCCTAGCGTCGATTTTGCAGTGTCTATTAATCTGGGTGAAAGGTCTGTCCAGATTTTTTCACTGACTTGTGAGCAATTTATTGTTTCAATGTTTGCATTGATTGCAAAGGCATCTGTCATTGTTTTTAATTTGCCCCATTTGATGCAGGGTTCCAGTTTTATCTTATTTTGAGTGGATATATTTGAGATTTGTAAATCCATGATTAGTAGCTTGTGTTGTGCGGCGATATCTTCTCCTGGGATGACTTTGCAGTCTATTACATCTTTTAATCTTCTGCGAGAGATTAGCATGTAATCTATCTGTGTTTTCTTAGTACCACTTTCATATGTTATTAAATGACTGTCTTTTTTCCTATAGTAGGTGTTAGTTAAGGCAATTTCGAAGGCTTGGGCAAATTTCAGTACGTGCTCTCCTTCATCATTTCTTTCTCCGTATCCAAAACCACCATGATGCCTTTTATAGCTATCTCTTGCTTTCCCCACATGCGCATTTAAGTCACCTCCAATTATGACTAGGTCATCCTTAGGGATTTCCATTACAGCTTCATCAAGGATAGCTCTAAAGTCATCTTTCTCTTCTTCCTTACAACCCGTTTGAGGAGCATATACTGATAGGATGTGTAGTATTGATTGACCAATGCAGAGTTTTATCTTCATTAGTCTATCAGAGATCCTGTTGACTTCTACTACTGAAGAGGTTAGGTCTTGGCTGAGGATGATGCCGACACCGTTCCTATTGCTAACAAGTCCATTATAGTACAATTTATACCCATCTCCAATCATCAAAGTTTTCTGTCCTTTCCATTTCGTCTCTTGTATACACGCTATATCAACTTTTCTCTTGTTCAACATTGATGCCAATTCTCTCGTCTTACCTTTAAGCGTCCCAATATTCAAACTTGCCAGTCTTGTCTTCTTTGCTTTGACCTTTACTTTATTTTTCACAGGATGGAGGTCTACACCCTGCGCGTCGCATGGAGGGAACGCCCTAGCTTTCATATTCATATTTTCATTTGTGTCCTTCATCTAAAATTTGATGAATCATTGATAGTTTTTCATACTATTTTAACTTGTTCTATTAATAAGATTGGTCTGGTTTATATAGAGAAGTTAATTTTATATTTATAATATAAAAAGTTTTATTATCATATAAAGATAAACGGACTTTAATCAATCTTAATTTGTTTTAATTCATAGCGGAGCTAGATATTGTATTTATATTTCAATAATTGTGCAATGTAAAATATACGAATATTAATTTTATTTTTGGTATTTCCTCTTCTTCAATGACAGTTCGAGATATTCAATCATAAAATTAACCATTGAATGAAAATTTGATTTTTATTATGATTTATAGAACCAGTATTTCATTTAAGAAATGCTTTTTTGAATTATTTTAATATTAATTTCAAATACATGTTATGAGGGATAAAATTTGAACATACAATTCAATTATAAAACAATACATAATAATAAAGTATAAAAACTTATATTATTTTTATTTTAAAAATATTTCTAAAATTTCAATTATCTTAAAGATTTCATTTTTTCAATTTTAACTATATTATTACCATTCCCCTGAAGATTTCATAACAAGTTTTTTAATAATTAAAATTTTATATCTGATCGCCAACCATATTACACTTTTAAACCACTTTTATGCCCCTTAAATTTTTACAGCCAAATAAAATATATAAACCATTTTATTTGATTATAAACAAAGTTGTTTATCAAAAATTTTACAAGTAATTTTTAAATAAATTGGTTATTATATTATATTATTAATATATCTAATTAAAATAATAATTCAAGAACCATTTTTTAAATAGTATATTTAATCTATCATGATATAATAATAGTCATTTTGTTCATTCAATAATAAGCTCTATATTTATGTGATGCATGTTAACTCCCTTCTTCCCTACTACTTCTTTGCCTATTTTTTCTCCTTCTCCTAATAACCAAAGGCTTCAGGGCCAATTTCTCAACAGCCATTTTCCCGGGATCTCCCTTGAAAAGTGAAGAAGAGAACTGAGGCCCCAGTTGTTCACTCACAATGACTCTCATGGATCTGGAGCATAAAATTAAGCGTAGTCAATCACCAACCTAAATTTCCGTCTGATGTGATAGATTCGGAAATCCAGGAATAGAGAATTGACCATCACTCCATCTTGGGCTTCTTCGGACATCAACAGTCTGGGAGAAGAGTTACGTCTATCATAAATTCTCTAGAGGCTCGCTTTCTGGAGTTGACAATGATTTTGGTGCGCCCCAAGCAGGATCCACGGTCATTCCACCCATTAACAACATCCT